ATTTGAACTTGTGCTCAAGGCAGATTAGTTAATGCAATGCACTTAGCATTCATTATTGTGATTCAAGCACATATTTTCATATGCATTATGGCTAGGACTTAGGCTTAACTCAGGCATGTGTGAGTATGTTATTGCCATCACTGCCTCTGAGATTGTCTCCGTCTACTGTGAGCAGGATTGCTCTGCACAGCTTTGGTTGTTAGACACAGAGCCCCATTCCTCGTTAATGGTGTTAATGGAAAACAGTTCATAAGCAAGTTATGTAACTTAATTGTAGTCAAGAAATCGTCTCAGTTATATTATTTAAAGAAGTCACATCTTAAATTTAAGGACCCAAACGGAGTCCTTCCCTAGGGAAGTGTCCTCTCCTCCCATAGTCTCATCTTAATGGTAGCACCGCCATCTTCCCACCTGTTCAACCAGGAGCCTGGACATGTCTCTATTTAGTCACCAAATTCTGTTGATTCTTCCTGTTTCAGTTCTTCCCTCTACCCCCTGGCCCCTGGAGAGATGGAATCTCTGATGGGGTAAATTTGTGGGACTAGACCCTTGAGGGCATTAGTATCTCCTTTTACTCAGAAGCAGACAGTTCTTGGTGACATGGCCACAGCTTCTCACTTTCTTAAGCACAGCAGCTTCCTGAAGTCCCCGGGGCTGTAGCTCTGGCCTCCAAGTTCATTCTAGGGCACTGACTTTCAAAGGGTTTTGATTGCAACCCCCCAGTAAGAAATGTATTTTATGCTGTGACCTAGAACATAAGGACACAAATATAAAATGGAAACATAATTTCCACAAAACAATTCTTTCGCTGTTACCTGGAATCACTTTGATATTTTGTTTTCTACTCTATTCCATTTCTAAAATTGAAGTTGGGTGGCACCCACTAAGTGGATTTCACAATGCAGTGAGTCACAACTCATAGTTTGAGGAACCTTTTCCTAGGACTCACATCCTAGTTTGGAAGTGCAAGACCCAGCACAGTGCGGTGACTAAGAACTCACACTCTGGGACACACTGCAAGATTAAAGTCCTTGCTCTAAGTGTGGCCTTGGGCAAGTTACCTGACTTTTCTATACCTCCGTTTCCTTGTCTTCAAAATGGGAGAATAACAGAACCTATGTTGTAGGTATGTTGTGAAGATTGATACATATGTGTGTGTGTGCGCACACACACACACACACACACACACACATATACATATATATACCCACTAGTGGCCTGGTGCACGAAATTTGTGCTGGGGGAGGGGGGTGGGGTTCCCTCAGCCCAGCCTGCACCCTCTCCAATCGGGGACCCCTTGGAGGATGTCTGACTGCTGGTTTAGGACCCGGATTGGTTCTAAACCGGCAGTCAGACATCCCTCTCACAATCTGGGACTGCTGGCTCCTAACTGCTCACTTGCCTGCCTGCTTGATTGCCCCTAACTGCCTCTGCCTGCCTGCCTGATCGCCCCTAACCTCTCTGCCTGCCTGCCTGATCACCCCTAACTGCCTCTGCCTGCCTGCCTGATCACCCCTAACTGCCTCTGCCTGCCTGCCTGATCGCCCCTAACCTCTCTGCCTGCCTGCCTGATCACCCCTAACTGCCTCTGCCTGCCTGCCTGATTGCCCCTCATGCCTCTGCCTGCCTGCCTGCCTGATCGTCCCTAACTGCCCTCCCCTGCCAGCCTAATCTCGCCCCCAACTGCCCTCCCCTGCTGGCCTGATCTTGCCCAGCCTCTGCCTCTCTTTGTTTTTCTCAGCAGTCCTCCAGGCCTCCCTGCCTCCCTGTTTCCCTCTCCCTCTTTCCCGGCCGGGAGGGGGCGGGGCCAGTGGGGGCTGCTCCACTCTCTGCCTGCCCTCCCTTCCATCCAGGCCTCTTCAGGCCCAGTCTGTTTCATTTCCTCATTCTGAGAGAGGCTCTGAGAGCAAGCTGGGAGGGAAGGAAAGAAAGGGAGAAAAGGCTGTGAGCTGGTGGGCTCTGTGTGTGTCTGTGTGTGTGCGCAGTTGTGAGTGAGTATGAGTGCCAGCCCCGCCTTCCCCATCCCTGTCTCTGCTGCCACAAGTCCCCACCCACCAGAGCCTGCTGTGCATGCAGCCTAGGCATTAGGTTGAGCCTCCGGTTGTTGTGGATGTGATGGACCCAGGGTTTTTATGTATTAGGATGTCCTATATAATAAAAGGCTAATATGCAAATCAACTGAATGGTGGATCAATGGGTTTCTATGACACGCACTGACCACCAGGGGGCAGATGCTTAACGCAGGAGCTGCCACCTAGTGGTCAGTGTGCTCCCACAGGGGGAGCACCACTCAGCCAGAAGCCAGGCTCATGTCTGGCGAGCGCAGTGGCAGTGGTAGGAGCCTCTCCCGCCTCTGCGGCAGCACTAAGGATGTTTGACTGCTGGCTTGGGAGCGGGCCTAAGCCATCAGTTGGACATCCCCTGAAGGCTCCTGGACTGCAAGAGGGTGCAGGCTAGACTGAAGGGACCCCCCGCCCCCTGAGTGCATGAATTTCATACCCTGGGCCTTTCTCTCTCTCTCTCTCTCTCTCTCTCTCTCTCTCTCTCTATATATATATATATATATATATATATATATATATATATATATATATATATATATATTAGAGGCCCGGTGCACAAAAATTTGTGCACTTGGGGGAGAAAGAGGGTCCCTCAGCCCGGCCTGAGCCCTCTTGTAGTTTGGGACCCCTCGGGAGATAACGACCTGCTGGCTTAGGCCTGCTCCCGGGTGGCAGAGGGCAGGCCCAATCCCTAGGTGCAGCCCCTGGTCGGGCTCAGAGCAGGGCCGATTGGGGAGCTGGGGCACCACCCCCTGTCATGCACAGAGCAGGGCGGATTGGGAGGTTGCGATGCCACCCTCAGTCATGCTCAGGGTAGGGCCGATTGGAGGGTTGGGGCACCGCCCCCTGTCACACTCAAGGCAGGGTCGATAGGGAGGTTGTAGCACCACCCCATGTCATGCACAGAGCAGGGCCAATCAGGGCGTTGGGGAGCTCCCCCCTGTCACGCACAGAGCAGGGCCCATCAGGGGGTTGGGGAGCTCCCCCTTGTCACGCACAAAGCAGGGTCGATCAGGGGATTGGGGAGCTCCCCGCTGTCACGCACAGAGCAGGGCCCATCAGGGGGTTGGGGAGCTCCCCCCTGTCACGCACAGAGCAGGGCCCATCAGGGGGTTGAGGAGCTCCCCGCTGTCACACACAGAGCAGGGCCGATCAGGGGGTTGGGGCGCCTTCCCCTGTCACGAACAGAGCGGATAGGGAGGTTGTGGCCCCACCCCCTGTCACACACAGAGCTACAGGGTGATCAGGGGGTTTGGGCGCTGCCCCCTGTCATGCTGATCCCGGTGCCGGGAGACCTCGCGGCTCCGCTGATCCTGGTGCTGGGAGGCATATTACCCTTTTACTGGGTGAGAGGCTGAGGGCTGTTTGCAGCTGGTCACACACACTTCAGGTATGACATGGTGCGGCGCCCCGACCCCCTGATCGGCCCTGCTCTGTGTGTGACAGGGTGCGGCACCCCAACCCCCCCCTCCCACGGGCCCTTCTCTGTGTGTGATGGGGTAGAGCCATAACCTCCCCATTGGGCCTGCCCTGAGTTTGACAGTGGCGGCGCCCCAACCCCCTGATCGGCCCTACTCTGTGGGTGATAGAGGGCGGCGCCCCAACCCCCTGATCCACCCTGCTCTGTGTGTGACAGGGGGCGGTGCCCCAACTCCCCTATCGGCCCTACTCTGTGAGTGACAGGGGGGAGCTCCCCACCCCCCTGATCGACCCTGCTCTGTGCGTGACAGGGTACAGAGCCCCAACCCCCCTAATGGGCCCTGCTCTGTGAGTGACAGGGTACGGAGCCCCAACCCCCCTGATGGGCCCTACTCTGTGCGTGACAGGGGGTGGCGCCGCAACCTCCCCATCGACCCTGCCTTGAGTGTGACAGGGGGCGGTGCCCCAACCCTCCAATCGGCCCTACCCTGAGCATGACTGAGGGTGGCATCGCAACCTCCCAATCTACCCTGCTCTGTGCATGACAGGGGGCGGCGCCCCAACTCCCCAATCGGCCCTGCTCTGAGCCCGACCAGGGGCTGCACCTAGGGATTGGGCCTGCCCTCTGCCACCCAGGAGCAGGCCTAAGCCAGCAGGTCGTTATCTCCTGAGGGGTCCCAGACTGCGAGAGGGCACAGGCCAGGCTGAGGGACCCCCCTTTCCTCCCGAGTGCACAAATTTTTGTGCACCGGGCCTCTAGTATATATATAAAATTTCTGGACAATGGCCAGGCATCTAGTAAGTACTTCCTAAGTGTCATCTGCCATTATTATTATTACCATCATTATTTTCAAAATCACCTGCTAACCCATCCTATAATGAAGCTAAGTTGCAGTACCACTGGTGGGGGCACAAAAAGTACCAAACAGTTTATTCACAAAGCTGTACAAACTACAGTGTGTGGGGCACGGAGGAGAGATGCCCTGGGACCCTGTCCGCACAGGCTGCACCCCGGCTCCTTTCTGCAGGAGAGTAGGGGAGGGAACGCCTTTTCCCGCCATGGCTGGTGTTCTGACTGCTGGGTCTGCAATGAGTCCCTCTGCTTTTCACTAACACACATTTTATTTCCTCGCTTGCTCTTTGTGATCACCTAGAATCCCACACCCGCAAAGTGAGGAGGGCTTCCTTCTTACTGTGCATCTTGGGGACCATATTAGAATGTCAGTCCATACAAAGGAAGATTGGGTTTCTTTTCTCATTAATTCCGTGCACCAAATCCAATAAGGGACCAGCCCACAAAAAGGAGGAGGAGGAGGGAGAGAGGGTAAATGGGAAGAGAAGCAGCAAACTTTTCAGTTATGCCAAAGGCTGGCATGTTTCAACCCACCTCAGCATCTGATGGTCAAACTGAGGGGCCAAAGGGGCATCTGTCACATGGAGGGTGGGAACCAAATCCAAGAACATTCTACCCATCACCCAAAGGACCGATTCAGGAAATAAAGAACGGGAGACTGGGAATCAATGTTTCATTGGTCATGATGATCAAAAGATGATGGTTAACACACACACACTCAGACCTCATCCCACCTGTTGCAGGGCTGAAGCAACACCTCCGGGGCCCCCCACCCCCTTGCTGGGTACCGTGGCCGCACCCTGCAGCCACTGCCCCACTCAGGACTCTGCCCTTCCCTCAGACTTCTGCTCTGTTTTCAACTTCTCAACGTGGTGCCTGGACTTGACCTGAGTCTGCGGTGGGCAGGGTTGCAATGTCCATGAATCCTTCTCCATCTCCCTCTCCCACCTCTCTCCTCTCCCCTCTCCCACCCCATCATTGTTCCCCAGAAACAAATAGGATGGCTTCACTGATCAATTCTTTACATGTACAAACACCAAAAGCAGAGGGAACACCCCTGGTCGCCCCCCTCCCCCCAAACCCCAGTGCTGCGAGAGCAGCCAGCGGCGGGCGAGGCTGCCTCGGGAACGCGGAGCTGCTGGAGCTGTCCGGCTGTTCTGGAAACTTCTTTGGCCTCTGGGCTTTACCTGGAGGCCTCTTCCTTCAGCTCCTTGTTTTTCCGCACCTCTTCCGCGTGCTTGTCCTGGGAGGGGAGGGAAGGGAAAGGACAGGTTACACCCGAGGGGATAAAGGGAGGGACAAGAGAACCCAAAGGATGGCCACCACCGGAAGTGAAGAGCAGGGTCTCAAGGAGTCCTGAGAAGGGACAGAAGGTGGCAGGTGAGACTGGCAGGAGGCCGGTGAGTGAGTCTGCTGGTGTGGCCCCAGGTGGTTCACTGACTGGGGCCAACCTCCCTGGGGGCTCACCTCACAATGACCCCGGTGCCCACCAGCCTCTTCCTCCCTCACCTGGCCATCCTGGGGTTTGCACTGAAGATGCTACTTGACTTAATAGAAGCAGCCGCTCAGTGTAGCTGCTAAAGGAACGGGCAGAGCAGAGGGGCCTCGTTGCAGGTGTCCCCTACACACACCTTGACTGCCACTTTCATTCCTTGTCTGTCTCCTTAGGAGAGTTGTCTGACCCCCTGGGTGGAAGATGAGGGCTCTTCAAGTCTAAATGGACTGAAGAATTCTTGGAAGTGCCGTCCAGCTCCAATAGGCGAGCTTTCTTACAGGTGTATTAAGAGGACCCTCTTTTGTTTCCCAGCATGATGAAGCCACAGACGGGCCCTGACTTCAGAGGCCTGTGAGCTGTGTGACCGTGACCAGCTCGCGTCACTGATCAGGCCTGAGTTCTCTGGTCTTTAAAGAGAGGGGCACGCATGGGAAGCTCCTTTACCGCTAGAATTCTGCGATTTTAGCGTTTACCTCTAGGGCTTATCGTTACAACTCATTCATTGTGCACAGATGCGGGTCCTCTACTCGGGGACTTCCTTGTGGGCAGGGAGCATGCCTTGTTCGTTTTTGTATTTTCCAATCCCTCCTGTGGCACCTTGCTCATGGTGGGTGCTCAATAAATATTGTCACTGCCAGACCCTGGCATCCATCCAGATATCATCACACCCAGATATCAAGAAGCAACCTAGAACACACCCACTAGGAAATATCTTAAATTACCAATCTGTCCCTGCAGAGGCCCTAGAATTTTCCATGGTCCTGGGTAAGTATGGGGAGGGGTGCATCTAAGGCTGTGGTTCTCAACCTTGCTATGTTACCAGCACGACCTAAATAGAATGCTGAATTGCAGTCCTCAGGCACAATCCCTAGAGAAACAGCATGAGTAGATCTAAGATACGATCCACGTACCTGTAGTGTTAAACTTGGCACCAGGTGAGTCTGGTGCAGGTGGTCAATGACCCCACACAAATACTGACACAGGCATTGTTGAAAGTGTCCCTGGCTGGAGCCAGGGCAGAAACCACACGCCCATCCCTTTCCTTCATTAGTGGGCAAGGTTGAATAGAGGTCAAGATCCCAGAGAAGTGAGGCCCACTCGAATGTCTGCTCCAACATCTTGCTTCTTTGAGTCTTACCCGACCTCCAAAGCTATTACCCCGGAGTCTGGGTCTCCCTAATCTCTCAAAATCTACCTCCATGTTCAGGTGAGCTCCCTGGGCAGAACCCTAGGTTTCTGGACTCCATTTCCTTGGCCTCCAATGACCCCCTGTCTCTGACAAAAGGCCAGCAGGACAACTGGGTGCTGGTTTCCCTGCAATAAACATTGAAAGAGCCACCTGGATGCATAGCCAAAGAACTGGGTTCCCGTCCAGCTGAGTGGCTGTGTGCCACTGGGCAAGTCACTTGACCTTCTCTGACACGGTTTCCTCTGACACAGGCATTGTTGAAGGCTTTCATAAAACAAGGATAAGATCTGTCCTGCTTACCTCATGCACTGGTTGTGGAAAGAGGGGTATGATGAAATAAGAAGTGTCGGACAGCCTTTCAAATACCATATCATGCTCCAAGCCTCAATCATTTCTTCTCGGTTTGGCCCGAGAGCCATGCCTCATCCTATCCCAGTCCCAGATTTTTTTTTTTTCCTGCAAGAGTTTGCTCTAGCCATCCTTCAACAACCGGGGAAGTTTGAAATTAGACAAGAGCACTTCCCTCCTATCTGGTACATAATGGAGGACTTGCTGCCCCAGAAATATAAGAGCAGAGGGGCTGCCACATGCTGGCGAACTGCAGTGCCTATGGGACATACAGATCCCCTGTGCAGAAACTAGATCTTTCTAGTAGCTGTTGTGAGGGAGCTGAGACTCTAGGTGGACAGGCAGGAAGGAGTGGGGACCACGCTGCTCACCATGGGACGAGGCCACCGATCGGGTCCCGGGAGTCACCGCGCAGCAGGCGGCTCCTGGAAATAAAACACAGAGCTGGAGCGCTCCCAGGAGCTGCAGGAGAAACTGGGGCAGCCTTGAGACTCAGGAAACGAGGCCAGCGTGTTCTTAGCAGAACGGGCTGTTATTCTGCTGACACGGAGACCAACCTCAGCTTCTCACGTTTCTCATATTTAGGTGACACCATTTGGTTTATTGACAAAAGGCAGCCTATTGGAAAGACTCATGACTCCCTCGGTCCATATCAATAGAGTTGGGAAGAATCATGTTTCCTGCTAAATGGGCAGCTCAGGTCATCGTGCCCCTGGCTGAGAGCCAAGAGCTCCAGTCAGCATCTCTCATTGAGTTGAATTGGTCCATTCAAGGATAAAGCCAGGCATGTACAGCGGCTTGTTTATTCCTCCTCCCTTGCGTTCTCTACATGATAAGAGCTCGAATCTCCCTGAGACAACGAGAAAGTTCCACTGAGTGGCTGTGCAGCACGTCCTCCAAGGAATTCCAAAGCTCCACGTATGTTTCTTGCCTATGACTTCCCAAACCATCCCTCGGAACTCGTAAAGGACCCAGCCTAGCGGAATATGCCCATTCCTGCCGGAGGCTGCCTGCTCCCGGAAATGACGAGTAGGTCTATGGCACTTGCCATGGACGGAAGAGCGTGTCCTAGGAGTCTCCTCTCGGGTCAAGGCCGCTTACCTTCTCTTGCAGCCGTTCCAACATGGCAGCAAGGTGGGCCTCCCGGTTCTCCTTATTGGATTCCATCTTCTGGGCCAGTTTTTCTTTAGCCATCTTGATGAAGTTATTGTTCTCCTCGATGGCTTTTTGGATCACCTCCCGCTCGTGTTCCCGTTTCTCGGCGAGGTGCTTCAGGAGCTCAGCTTCCTGGTACTAGGGACGCACAAAGGGAGAGAGAGACTCTTGAAGGTGAGCACGCAGGGGATGTTTTTATCATCTGACTTAAAAGCTCCACACCCAGAACACATGCCTCCCTGAACCTGGTCCCCAGCCTACTTCCTAGATTCTCCACCAGACCGTCAGTTCTCTTTTCCTCATGGCCATCATTCATTCATTCGTTCGTTCATCCATCCATTCATTCAGGCATTCACAAATACTAAATGACCATATACTATGTGCCAGGCACTCATCTACCAACTTGGGAAAGAAAAAAAGCCTAGTAGAGAGAACATACATAAATAACTCAAACCAAACTAGCACGTGACATATGCCCTAAGAGGAATCCAAGGGAGGAGAAGATTATTTTCTGTTTGAAAGATGAAGAAAAACTTACACAAAAATTGGCATCAGAGGTGGGCCCTGAGAATCAATAGGAAACAGCAGACACACCAGGGGGCCTTCTCCCCCTCCCCAGTGAAGGAGGCCCTTTTTTAACTTGTCTAGTCTTTTCCTAAATCCTTATTGTTTGTCCATGTCTTACTCTTGTTGCTGTGCATATCCGGCCACCACTTGGAGGCAGGTAATGCAGTGCCTGAGCCCCCTAACCAAACTGTAAGCTCTTAGAGACCAGGGACGTTTACTTCTTGTTTCTCTCCATGACGCCCCATTCTCTGCCCTGGGAATGGGAAGTGCTGTTGACATATTTGTAGGTCGGTGGTGACCTGACCCCAGCTCAGAGCCACCACCGGTCTTCTCCAGCTCCTTCCCCCTCCTGCTGAGACGGAGGGGAGAAAGGACAGCACTTACCTTCCTTCGCTCTTCAGCTGCTTCTAGTTTCTTCTGTATCTCTTCCAGCGATGGGTCTCGCCGCCTGGGGAGGGAGGCATTGAACTCGGGCACCCCATCAAAGGAGGGCGGCTTCAGGATGACTTCAAAGGACTGGCCGGAGGTGCATTTGTTCAGCTCGATGACTTCCATGTCGGAGATCACACACCAGTTCAGGTCCACCGTGTCAGCTGCAGAGAGAAGAAGAGGGGCTGCTCACCCCCTGAAGACCGCGTGGGCTCCCGTAAAGCATACACACATGCACACATCCGTGGGAGACCTGGGTGCCCCAGGAAAACCAATGGCCAACGTTCTGGGTCTGTCCTCAACGGGGCACCTACGCTCCATGGGCTCTGATGGGGCTAAGGAGAGGGTAGCCACAATGAGGGCTCAGGCTCCAAGTTTAAGGTCCCAAGATATGTGATTCCTGACAATGGCTGTAGCAACGGTGTTTGCTTCTGCCACACGGCTCCTCCCATAGTTGAGCTCTTGCTCAGATTGCCATCTATGGTGGCCAACAGTGTGCACTTCCCCACCACCCACCACCCATCCACGCCTTCACTCCTCCTCCCACTACCAGTCTGATGGCTCAGCCTGTTGACACCTCTCCCCCTCTCCCTCCTACCCTGCTCTCTTCTTTCTCTCCAGTCAGCACTGTCTTTCCGCTGGCTTTGATCTTTTCTCCTACACTGTCTCCCACACCAGCCTAAACAACGGAAAAAAACATTCTCAGGTAACCCAAACACCCCCATCTCTCATTTTCAGACCAAACCCATCCCTTCCTTTAACCCCCAGGAAATTAGGAGGCGACTTGTGCTCTGACCACCCCCAGTCAGGATGTGGCCATTCAGTGCTCCCTGCCAGCACCCAGGGACACCTGTTCAGGGACCCACCAGCATGGCTATCACAGAGCCTCCTTGGGCAAAAGTCCTCTTCCCACCTCTGGGCTCTCCCCCAGCATTCCCTACCCTTCCCGGAGGAGGCTTGGTAGCTATGGAGTCTACGGATGTAAGCCTGTCTTGCCTCCTCTTCCAGGCTCAGTGTTCCCTGAGGGCATCATCTCTGCTTCACCTCTGCACCCTCCACAGCATCATTTAAGTGAATGAACAAAAGCTGAGCTCAAGATCACTCTGCACAGGGCCTGCGTCAGACCTTCGCCTGCCGCCTACTCCCCAGGCCCAGCCCCACACCTGCCTTCACCTGGTGCTTAGACCCTCGGAGTCAGCTGTGGTGATTTTATTGGTCCTGGGAAAGCAATGGTGATGCGGGGGGCAGAGGTTCAGGAAACTGGGGTGCGGGTGCTGTACTGTGGCTGTGAGCCACAGGAACCCTCCACCCATTACTTTCCTAGCGGTGGCCCTCGCTTACCTTCATAGTTATAGGATGACTTATTCAGGGGGTCGGCCAGGAAACAGGAGCAGAACAGAGACACCAGTGGGAGCTCCTTCATCTTTTCCTTGTAGGCTGTGGGAACACCCGCAGGTGAAGACGGCCGCCCTCCCCTAGTCTCCGGGCCAGCATCTGTGGGAGTCTGGATGCCCTAGCAGCCAGGGGCACCGGGCTCTGCAGAGGCTCCCAGACCCACCCCTTGGCTGGGGACCCAGCCCCCTTTGCCCCAAGCGGCCCTGTTTAGAACTCCTGTGTGTGATTTGGACCCAAAGTTCAGGTACACTCAGGCTCTCTCAGCTCTCAGTTAATGCCCAGCGCGATGCCTGGGCACTCTCCTCCTCATTTCCTTTTACAAATTGAAAACATAATTGACTTAAAAATAATACACATGTCCCTAGATGGTTTGGCTCAGTGGATAGAACATCGGCCTGCAGACTGGAGGGTCCCAAGGTTGATTCCGGTCAAGAGCACATGCCCAGGTTGTGAGCTCAATCCCCAGAGGGGGGCATGCAGGAGGCAGCCAATCAATGATTCTCTCATCATTGATGTTTCTATCTCTCTCTCCCTCTCCCAAATCAATAAAAATATATTTAAAAAATAATACATGTGCATGGCAAATCCTTTTTAAAGCACACACACAGAAGAGCAAAAGGAAGAACTCAGCTGCGATCCCACCCACCGTCTAGAGATAACCTTTTGCAACCCTGGGTGTAATTTTCTTATCTTCTGTGCATATGTAGGTACCTACATTTGTGTACAGAAATAACCTGTGCTGTGGTGCCCCATCACAAAAATAAGTTTGTACCTACCAGCGAGGGTCATGTTTTCTGGAATGTGAGAGCTGAATCCACTGAGAGCCACGGAGTAGGTCTGTCACCAGCTCAGGACGCTGTTACAAACCAGAGAAAAAGAGAGTATTTTACCACTGACAGGTTATTTGCACAAGGAAGCAGGGAAGGGAACCCCAGGAGGCGCCTCATCTGCTCCCACCTCCAGGCCCTCTCCACACACCAACCTTTCCCATACACCAGCCGCCGCCTCAGCACAACCCAGTCAAGTTCAGTTTCGAGGCACCTGTGATGACTTCGGAATTGGTTTCCCAGTCTCAAGCCCCCTGAGAAGGCAGACATGGGTTTCCCCAAACTGTATGGATCAAAGGTTGTTTGTCTGTCTCCCTGCGCAGCTCTTTGGCTTGGCCCAAAGCAAGGGTTAGGGTGAGAGACAAATCCTAAATCAGAATTACCTTGGAGAGGTTGGCAAAATAACTGTAGTGCTTCCCAATGACCCGTTCTCATATAGGAGAGAGGGAGTTGGACAGATGTCAAAAGACCTCTCCAGGTGTCCTCTCCCTCCCTCCCCCCAGGAACCACTGTCCTAAGCACTCCTCAACCCCACTTAAGACAACCCCAGACTATGAGAAGGACAAACGTTACTAAGGAATAATGACATCAAAATGTAGTGCAGACCCCTACGGTTTGGCTCAGTGGTCAAAGCATCAGCCTGTGGACCCAAGGGTGTTGGGTTCGATTCCTGGTCGAGGGCATGTACCCTGGTTGCAGGCTTGATCCTGGGCCCTGCTCAGTGTGTGTGTGGGAGGCAACCAATTATGTGTCTCTCTCACATTGATGTTTTTCTCACCCCCCTCCTCCCTCCTTTTCTTTCTTTCTAAATATTTTTATTGATTTCAGAGAGGAAGGGAGAGGGAGAGAGAGAGAAACATCAATGATGAGAGAATCATTAATCGGCTGCCCTTGCATGCCCTGCACTGGGGATTGAGCCCACAACCCGGGCATGTGACCTGACCAGGAATCGAACTGCAATATCATGGTTTGTAGGTCAACGCTCAACTACTGAGCCACGCTGGCCGGGCCTCCCTTCCTTTCACTCTCTCTAAATATCAATGGAAAAAATGTCCTCTGGTGAGGATTAAAAAAAATAAAAGTAGTACAGAGGTGGTAACCGGTGTGCCGGATTACCGTGGGAGCAGAGATGGGACTGTATACTCCGCACCAGGCCTGGAGAGCCAGATAGGGTTCTCTGGTGTTAGCAGCACACAGCAGAGTCTTAAATGATAAGTCAGAATTGGCCAGGAGATGGCAGGGGGCATTCTGCCAAGGAACAGCACATATAAAGGGCGGAGGTGAGAAAACTTGGTCTCAAGTGACCTCAAGCCGGCTGATGCTGGACCAGAAAGTGTGAAGGAGGAAGAGGTGGAGAAACAGGAGAGGTGGGGAGGGAGCAGACTGGGGAGTGTCTGGGGACGGTCAGTGACAGGGCTCCACTGAAGGCTACTGTTGGGTGGAGTGAGAACTAGCCAACAGTGAGTGGCCATCATGGGGACCACTCGTTCCTTGGCTACCGTGATGGTTAACTTTTGTGTCAACTTGACTGGGCTAACGGATGACCATAGAGCCAGTAAACATTCTTTCTGGATATGTCTGTGAGGATGTCTCTGAAAGAAATCAGCATTTGAATCAATAGACTGAGTAAAGATCGCTCTCATCGATGAAGGTGGGCCTCACACGACCCATTGAGGGCCGGATAGAACAAAAAGGTGGAGAAAGGGCGAATTTGCTCTCTCTGCTTGAGTTGGGACTTCCATGTTCTCCTGCCCTTGGACTTGGGAGCTCCTGGTTCTCAGCTCTTCTGACTGGCCTGAATCACACCAGCAGCTTTCCTGGGCCTCCAGCTTGTAGACGGCTCATCGTGGGCCTTCTTGGTCTCCGTAATTGCATGAGCCAATCCCTCATAATAAATCTCTTTCTATATATACTATTGGTTCTGTTTCTCTGGAGAACCCTGACTGATACCGACGCCCTCAGTGCTCACTGTGCCAGCAGAGGGTGTCATGAGCCAACAGCTTCCCTGCCAACATCCTCACAAGACAAAGGACCCTGAGACTCACTTAGCACCCCTTTCCTTCCTTAATGAAGTGTTTTCCATCTGGAGCCAGGTCTGTACTGGCTGGGGATGGGCAGGGAAGTCACGGGAAGCATTAGGCTCAGCTCCAGTTTTAGGGCTCAACCAGCGAGGAGTCAAACACAGACTTCAGCTCTCTTACTACCTGTCACCAGTCACGTCACATGTCTAACTTCGCTGTCCCCATCTTAATGATTCAGAGTTTTTACAAATTAGATGAGAAAAGCGTAAGTACAGCATCCAGCCAAACTGAGGTGCTTCATAAATGTTAGTTTCCGTTCCTTGGCCTTTTCCTCAGGGTGGTTACCAGGTGCCACACGCCGGCTTCAGAGTCATGGCCTCTGGTTCCCACCCGCCCTGCAGACACTGTCATCCCCATTTGCAGATGAGGAGATGGAGACTCAGAGGGTCCATGTGGCTAGAAAGTAAAAGAATGGAGATTTGAAGCCGGGTCAGCTGGCCTTGAAGGGCTCTACTCCTGCAGCGTCTCCTTATGCCCCTCCCAGTGCAGCACAATGGGCCTCTCTCCTCGAGTCAAGCGGATCCTGACAGTACCAGCGAGTCTCTGAACAGGGCGCGGGCCTCTGAGCCTGGATGCGACATCCGGAGTTATGAGCCTCCATTCTACACCATCTCTGCTCATGACTCGGCGGATTGTGAAGGCAACTGGTAGAGTGAGCGAGCCCTTGCCAGGAGAGGGAGCGGCCTACGACTTTACCCTGAGAAAGAAGGAGGCTGAGCTGAGCTTTTTCTCGAGGAGCAGGTGCCTGGAGGCAGGGACCATGCTGCTCAGTGTGAGCGGAGAACGGTAATGAAGACCCCGCATTTGTGGAGCACTTTGCAGGTTACAGTCTGTCACCCACATTGTCCCAGTTGGTCATTGCCTGAGGTTGGGCTCGGCTGACAACGAGAGGCATCATCAACTTCATTTTCAGACGAAGAATCTGGGGCTCAGAGAAGTTCAGACTTTTGGCGAAGGTCACACAGCCAGTTGGGGGTAGAGATGGTTCTATGATCCAGGTTGTCTGTTTTGTCCATTCTTCCTTATGGGCAGTGGAAGGACTGGATGTTAACTGCTCATTCTTCCATGGTGCTGAGGACTCGGGAAAAGCCAGTCCGGCCTGAAGATATGATTTAATTAAAATGTGTAATGAGTGCTGCCTCTACTTCGATGGAAGATACTGTACTCAGAGTTTTAGGACAGGAAGAACCAGGTAGAGAACACAGGTGAGAGGGGCAGAGAAGGAAGGTCAGGGCATGGAACAGGAATCACCCAAGATACAGACGGGCAGAGGTATGCGTGGCCAAGGGCTTCATAAGCGAGAGCACTCAGTTTCCCAGGGTTGGAATCTGCCTCCTAAGTTAAAAATATGTATTTATAGAGCATCTACTATGTGACAAATGCTTTCACTTTAATTTTCATAATAACCTTGTGACATAGGAATTGCTATCCCTGTCTTGTAGACGTGGGAATTGAGGCTCAGAGAGGCTGTGACTTCCTAAGATCACTCAGTGTCATGGGTTGAATGGTGTCCTCCAATGAGGCATATCCAAGTCATAAGCCCTGCACGTTATAAATGTGACTTTATTTAGAAAGGGTCTTTACATTTTAATTAAGTGAAGGATCTCAAGATGAGATCCTTCTAGATTAACTGGGTGGCTCCTAAATCTGATGGTGTGTCCTTACAAGAGACACACAAAGGAGAGACACACCGAGAAGAAGAGCATGGAAAGATGGAGGCAGAGGTTGGAGTGATGCTGCCACAAGCCAGGGAATGGCCAAAGCCACAGAAGCCACTGGAATCTTTGGAGGGAGTATGTCCCTGCTGACAACTTGATTGTGGACTTCTGGACACCAGAACTGTGAGAGAATGAATTTCCATTTTTGAAGCCACTAAGTTTGGGATCATTTGTCCCAGTTGCCATAGGAAACGAATGCACCCAGTAAGTGACAGAGCTGGGGTTCAAAACCCATCATTCTTTTACCCTATCTCACTACCAGTGTTTTTACACAGTCTGATGTTTTCCTCAAGATGATCTGGGTACATGTGCCTATGGGTACACGGGGCTCTTTTAAATCTTTGTAGCAATAGTGACATCATTTCCATTGCACTCAAGACCCAAAAGATGTTGCTGCCCATGGAATATTGTTTTTTAAAAAATATGTTTTATTGACTTTTTACAGAGAGGAAGGGAGAGAGATAGAGAGTTAGAAACATCGATGAGAGAGAAACATCGATCAGCTGCCTCCTGCACACCTCCTACTGGGGATGTGCCCGCAACCAAGATACATGCCCTTGACCGGAATCGAACCTGGGACCCTTGAGTCCGCAGGCCGATGCTCTATCCACTGAGCCAAACCGGTTAGGGCGCCCATGGACTATTCTGAGAAAGGAGATAAGGGGTCAGTGAGGAGGGCATGACTCTTCTGAAGGGCCCAGCAATGCAAAGGGGCCCTAAGCCATTGGCTGGTGGCAGCCACAGCAGGGAGCCTGACTTTACCCCAAATTAACCTGTGGCATCAGTGTTGGGTGGGGCTGGTCATACAGCCTCCCAGCACTCAGCCTGGCTGTGAGAACTGCAGGTCATTGATGGGTTGGACCCAGAATGAAGGCACACCACTCGGAAGATCTAGTGATGTTAACCCTTGGCCCGAAGGCCCTTAAGAGCAGTTCTTAGGCCTCCCATCTTAGACACCAGGGGCCCAGGCCATTCTTTTGAGCATGTCCAATCAACCCTAAGGCCCACAACCAGCCTTAGTCCTAGAGGCCAGGGCCCTACAAGCTTCTCACGTGCTGTGGGATCTGCTAAGTGGCTTGGTGGTGTGGGTCATGTTGTCATGCCTGCAGCACCAGCAATGGCCTGGGGCCAGCAGGTCTGTCCTGGGACTGTCAGAGAGGGGGTAGTAAGGGTGTTATTGGCCAAGATCAGAGAGAACAGAATGCCAGGAATTCCAGGAGGCAGGACAGA